AACTCCTGGTGGATCTGTATTGGGAACAATCAAGCTTCAAAGTGCTCATATCGGCAAACAATCTTCTAGTAAACCGTCTTACTCACCTTCGCGAGGGCCCGATGACAACGATGGTCACTACAGACACGCTTTTCTCATCCGTGAACCGAAACGCAAGGATAAAGATAGTTTTATGGACCATGTCCTCTGCGCCGAGAGCGATGCTGAGCGAGACTCTTGGGTGGCAGCCCTGTTGCACTATGTGGATGGTCCGGAAATGGATGGGAAATCGAGGCCTCCACTATTCAACAGCGACTCGGGATCCAGCAGGGTCGTGGTTCCTTCGAAAAAGAGCTCGCTCAAGACCGATGTGATCAGTTCAGACAGCCCAAACTCCGAAAAGTTCGACAGTCTCCAGGCTGTCCCTTACGAGGACACTAAGCCAGCTCAAGCCCCTCATGTGCTGATCACCCCTGATCCTCTGGCAACAGAGTCACCCTCACCGACAACATCTAGTTCACAGCCTTCTGTCAAAACACACACATCGCAGTCCAAAGCTATTTCGGCGCCTTCGAATGGTGCCAAGATCAACGATGTGGGAGCTTGGGGTAACAAGCCGATGGCAGTCCCTGTGGGAACTCAAAGGGAACACAAGAAACGAAGCATTTGGGGTTTCCGCGACAAGAATGGCCCAGATCTTGGGCTCAACCACCCAAACGACTCGAACCTCAGCTTAACACAACAGCAGTACCAGGAGCAAATCACTAACGTGAAGGCAGCCTTTGGCGCACCTCTTGCTGACGCTGTCGAGTACTGTGGCCCGCGTGGTATTGATGTCTGCTTACCAGCTGTCGTCTATCGTTGCCTCGAATACTTAGAGAGTAAAGATGCTCCGAGTGAAGAAGGCATTTTCCGTATGAGCGGGTCAAACGTTGTAATCAAAGGTCTCAAAAAGCGTTTTAATGCCGAAGGCGACTTTGATTTCCTCGGTCCTGACGAGCCGTACTTTGACGTGCACGCCGTTGCTTCATTGCTGAAGCTATATCTACGCGAGCTGCCGCAACCGGTCCTGACGCGCGATTTGCATCTCGAGTTTATTGCTGTTCTGGGTAAGAAACATTGTTTCTAAAAACACCTTCTCTAAATTGCAAAAAGTGAGCTTCGAAGTGCTGACCTTCTTGTACAGACCTTACCGAGAAGCCAAAAAAGATAGCTGCCTATAATGTCCTCGTCCACAGGCTTCCCAAACCTAATTTTACGCTCCTCCGAGCCCTCTCGGCCTTCCTCATCAACATCATCAACAATTCGGAAATCAATAAGATGACTATGCGTAACGTCGGAATCGTCTTCTCCCCCACTCTCAACATACCAACTCCTGTGCTCTCCATGTTCCTTACCGAATTTGATGCTGTCTTTCGCGAGAAGATCGAAGCTGCGAATGTTCCGTCACTAGAGGTTACGACGAGTGAGCCTCTGACCCCAGAGGATATCCGATCACCGAGGCGGCAGATGTTTTCAGACATACCTACTCCCTCTTATACTCAAGATACTTTCTCCGCATCCAATTCGCAGCTGTCACATCCATATGAGCAAGCGCCCAACAGTCACACCATGGACCCGGGTGACACAGGTTTCATCCCTTTGCAGCCAGCTTACGAAATATCGACGTCTCATGTCCAGCAGGGCTCGGTAACCGTACCGGGGCCCGAGTATGCTGTGGCTCGGCCTCGAAATCTGCCTGCAGGCGGTGCTGCGAAGGCGAGGAGAAGAGAGAGCTCGATGCTGTTAATGAGCCCAGGCCAGAGAAAGAGCTCCTTGCCCGTGATGAGCGGTGATAACGGTAGGTCATTCCCAGTTCAGGACTGACAGGACTGACGTTATGGCAGAGATGCTACATGAAGAAAACGCGTTTGACTGATCGATCTATCATATACTCCCAGACTAATATGTAAAAGTAATGTGTGGTCAGTGGCTATTCTTCTCTTCAGAGCGTACTTTGAGCCTGGCGTTTGGGCTTGGCATCTAGCGACTACCCTGCTTTATACCCATGAAATCTCTGGATCAGGCCGGTTCCTACGACGACGTATAATTCTTTATTTCCTGCCATTTTGCTAGCTGGGTTTTGGGGTTCGGTAACGACGAGTGGCTCGACCACATAGCATTTTCTCAGTGACCAAAAGAAGCGACATCCCAAAACGTGAGGTTTACTGATAGATCTAGCGTGCCTTTCCCAAGGTAGAGGATTATGTACAAGACGTGCACGGCATTGCATATATAACCTCAATCGTTAGAATAACAAATTCATATCTAAAATATGTGAACTCGATTTTGCCCCTGTATCCCTACTGTTGAGACATTTGACCACTAATCGCCTTGAAAGCGACGGTTCCCTCGCGAAGAGGGCACATGACGGAAGCGAGCCGTATATCCTTCCAAAAACATGGTCAGGGCACGTAGATAATGCCATAAGTGATCGGTCGCGCCTCTTTGTGGGTCTGGGAAGAAAGGTCAAGATTCCCGATCTGCCCAATGTTTTACACATCGAACACAGCGTAGTCATGCAGGCTCGAAGCATTGTACCCGTAGATTTCTTTTCGGAATCCACAGTGTTCATTCATCATCCTCATCAGAAGCCTCCATAGGGGCATCACTGTCTTCTTCCATAGGCGCCCCCTCGTCATCACTTTCATCCTCCCTTCCTCTCTTCACTCCCTTCCGTCCGTCCTCTTCTCCATCAACGTCCACCTTCCCCTTGTCAATCGACGCTTCGGTAACGTTGGCACTAGATGCAGAAGGCACAGGTGCTGGGAGTGACGAGGGTGGAGCACCGAATATGGACTGCTGCAGCTCCGTCGTCGTAATGTCGATCCCCACCGCAACGGGCATACGATATGTGCCATCCAGCTTCGCTATCGTGTCTGATTTCCCCTTCGCATACTGTATCTTCTATCCTCACTTCTCAGCATCTGTTTCTATGACTAGCCGGTGAAGGAAGGCAGGACTGACGATCTCCTTCCCAAAGAAATCAAACCCCTGTAGCGCTCTCATCGCTTGCGTACTCGCCTGCACATCTCGAAAAGCAACATGCGCCTGGCCTCGCATCTTGTTATTCCGAAGAGCGACGACATCAAGGACCGGACCATAGGTTGCGAAGAGAGTATAGAGGCAGAGGCGGAGGTCACGTTTCTGGATCTTTTCGGGGAGGTTGGTCAGGTAGAGTCTGTGAGTGTTTAGCTAGAGATCCATATTAGAGCTAGGCTTGCCTATTGATCATGAAAGAGACTCACGTTTGATTTGGAGCAAATGTGGACTTTTGGGGTGGGCCATTGTGGGATGGCACAGCTTTGGTAGACATTCTACCATTCGAAAATGTATCAGGAAAGCGAAGAGAGAATGTCAAAAGTCATTTCCCAGTGCCGCGAAATAATCCTGTCGTGGTTTTGCTCGAGAATTTGCGAGGCTAGAATCTAATTAGCCTGATTGCATTTTATGCACCTGAGCTCCAAGACTTCACCGCGTAGACCTCCACAGCTAAGCTCCAAACGTCCCCATTCGCACCACCAGCCACGGCTTTAAGATTACTGTCCCTGGGCATCCATTGAGAGGAGAACAACTTTATAGTGCTTTGTTGAAGATGGTAAGTCTCAATAGCTCGGTTGAGTCAATTTGGCTAACCATTTCATCAGAGCTCGCCCTTCGCCATCAGTAAGCTGCTATAGCCCCCAATGGACGAGGCGTCGTCTTTGTATCATCTTGCTGAAACTGCCATCTAGATGGCGGTGCTTGTGTGGCCATGGTCGGCAAAGACTGCGTTGCGATAGCTTGTGACCTCCGCCTCGGTCTTCAGTCACTCACAGTCTCCAACAACTTCCCAAAGATCTTCTCATACGGCGACGTCTATCTCGGTCTCACGGGTCTAGCCACCGATGTATCTACCGTCTCCGATCTTTTCCGCTACAAAGTCAACATGTACAGACTACGTGAAGAGCGTCAAATATCTCCGCAGACTATGGCGAATCTGGTTTCAACGAGTCTGTACGAGAAAAGATTTGGACCTTACTTTGTCAGCCCGGTGATCGCTGGCATAAACCACAAGACTGGAAAGCCTTTCATCTGCGGCTTTGATAGCATTGGGTGTATAGATTTCGCGAAGGACTTTATTGTTTCGGGGACGGCTAGTGATCAGCTCTTTGGAACGTGTGAGGGATTGTGGGAGCCAGATCTGGTATGGGGGAGCTTAAATTCTGCCGCATGGAGAGCATTGCTGACAGCACTTGAACTTGGTAGGAGCCGGAAGATCTGTTCGAAACCATATCCCAGGCTTTACTTAACGCGGTGGACCGAGACGCGTTGTCGGGATGGGGTGCACATGTCTACATCATTGAGAAGGACAAAGTTACGAAGAGGCTGTTGAAAGGCAGACAAGATTAGGGGGAAATCAAGTCTCAGGCGCATGGCGATGGAGGGCGGCATAGAGACCTTTGAGCATGCATAGCGATGATTGACAACCAAAGTCCTGCACTTATGCGAGAGTTGTGTACAATGTGATATGTCTCGAATTTTTACAAAAATCAGCAGACCTTTATTCTATCATTTCTCCATATTGCTAGGAGCGTTATTGGACCAGATGGTTGGAGAATACCGTTTAAGGTGATAAGGCTCGGCGCTAGGATATTCCCCACGTTTCGAGAGTTCCTGACATCTATCTTAAGTCTTGGCGCTCGCGAATGCTGGTGTCTCAAACTGATGCATCAGAACGACGCCCATACTTGTTGGCTTGTAGTCCTGTATACTGTATCACCTAACGAATGGGGGACTGCTCATGCATCGCCATTACCACGGGATTTATCCAGCGAACCCGATAACGCCGCCGTCGTCTCCGCTGCACGAACATCAATCAACATCCAAATATGCTAAAGGATGATACCTTACAAATAATCGCATAAGTCGCTCGAGGTCTCGAACGGGAGTAAAAGCGCCAGGTCTCGGCTAACCGCAGTCTTGACTCTATTCCTTGGAGTATGGGGAATGTCAGTAGTCGAACCGAAGACGGTGGGGCATTTGTCCTTCGAGACCAAAGTCGCCGTAAGTGCCCAAACTCACGACGCCCTTCTCCTGTCTTGACTAAAGTCTGAATAACAGTATCTATCGCATCCCTCACGGTCACAAATTCTAAGGGAAAGATCCTGCTCAATGTTGTTCCCAATGTATACCCGGCAACTAGGATCATTGCCAGGAAGGACTATGGCGACGAAAGCCTTGTGGAGTACATACAGGTAATAGGAATACCTACTGCAAGGGAAACAGCAGGTTGACCAGGTCTTTCTTTTAGGACCCTGAATCGTCTCCTACATTGCCTGTACCGTCATTCTTGTTCCGCCTAAACAACGACGACGAGCTCATATTCAACTTCACCTTCGTGATCCGTCAAAGTCAAAGCAGCCTGCCGGGGGTTTCAGGAGGGATTGATACATTTATTAATGGCCTCACCTTCGCCTTCGCATCAAACAACAAGGATCTTGACAATCTAGTCATTAGAGAATTTCATGCAGACCCAAACCTTCACAAAAATGCCAACGTGGAGCTGGTCGGCGACTATTCAACGGGTGGTAGCCCGTCTGCAAAGTTTGAGTGGTCATGGAAATGGCGCCCCCCTAAAACGACCGAAGATCGAGGAGGAGGTTGGCGTAATGCTTGCAGCTTCTCTGAATACGATCAGAGGGCCCACAAGCTTCAAGCCCTTGCATTGTTCAGCTTCTGGGTACAGAACACACCAAAAACGTTCACTGGTCCCCAAACACCCTCGCCATACTTCGAACTAAATGTACCTCCTCGACTCCGACTCCCATCGTCACAATCTATGATATCTGCGCCAAGTGAGTCAGATCATACGGACATAGGGCCACCATCACCCATCATCGAACCTGGAGAGATCAGTTTAGGCGTTCCACAGGTTTCGACCAAAGATCCAGTGGTAGTCGGAGTTTCATGTCCGCGGCCCAGTGAAGACATGAGCGCCGTTGAAGACGGACCCTTATTTCGAGCCACGATGAAAGCCCTGGAACAAAAGACTGGGAACATGCGAACAAGGATGAAGAAGGTTTTGCGTAAAGCCGAAGCAGCTCAGGCAGCTCAGGTCGAATGCAATGCTGCGGTATCTGCGTTCATGGAAGCACTTCGAGAAGCATCGGCGTCAAATGCAAATGCCATCCAGCCAGCACTCGAGCACTACTTCGAGAAGATTGCCAGCCAAATCCTTCAGTATGAAAAGCAGAACACAGTGCATTTGCAGAAACTCATCATCGACCCTCTCTCGAAGATATATAACATTGATATCAAGCAGGCAGAAGCCAAGAAGAAGGATTTTGAAGATGAGAGCAAGGACTATTATGCGTATGTCAGTCGCTATCTTGGCCAACGTCAAGACTCGTTAAAGGAGAAGAAGCGAAACGAAAGTGACTCCAAGTATCAAACTAAGAGAAGAAATTTTGAGCTCAAACGATTTGACTATTCGTCTTTCATGCAAGATTTGCATGGTGGCAGGAAAGAACAAGAAGTCCTCTCTCAATTAACGAAATATGCAGAGACACAATCGAAGAGTTTTCTGTCGACTGCAAAGAAAATTGGAGAGATGACTCCTCAATTAGAGGTGTTGATCCATGAGGTAAAGGAAGCCGACAAAGAGTATAAGATTCAGCGCACTGAAAGGGAAGAAAAGCGAAGAATTCTGGAGATGAACACTAAGACATACGTCGAGCCTGAGGCCGATGCATCTAACATCTTACCCATTCAGTCCATTGCCAATGGGACCTCCGCCCAGGAATCTGAGCTCTCGCGAGCTGATAGTAATGGTCGGAATGGTCTTCACTATTCTTCTTCGACCGCGTCACAACATGGTTCAACTTTGTCTGCACGAAACTCCACTCACGGTGTTCCTTCCACGCCCAGCAGTCGACCTAGCAGTGGTGTTCCCGTAGTGAGTCCCGACAAGTTCAAAGGTTTCCGTGACCTTGAAGAAAGGGATCATAATGGTGCTGTCGGACCAGACAGGGTTCAGCACAAGAAAGAAGGGTTACTTTGGGCTCTAAGCAGACCGGGTTCCCACGTCGATCCCAAAGGCCTTAATAAACAAGCATGGCACAAGTATGTAAACTCTCAAGCGTACCTTGGTCAGATACTAATGTATCAGGTTCTGGATCGTACTCGATCAGGGCAAATTGTCCGAGTACAGCAATTGGAAACAAAGGCTCGATCTTCACATGGAGCCGATCGATTTGCGGATGGCGTCGGTTCGAGAATCCCGCAGCGCAGAACGGAGGTTTTGCTTCGAAGTCATAACGCCACAATTCAAGCGTGTCTATCAAGCAACGTCAGAAGAAGACATGAATAATTGGATAAATGCCTTGAACAACGCCCTACAGAATGCCGTCGAGGGCAGAAATCAACCTCAACCTTTTACTCCTTCAACAATAGAGGAGAGGACCGCTCATCGAAATATTGGTTCTATACTTACGGGGAAAAGCTCATCGTACTCTGGACATCATCACCATCAATCACCTTCCAACGCAAGTGCCGCCAATAGCGTGTATAGGCACCGCACCGTTGGCGCACGACCGACCTATGTCCGTACGGATAGCAACAGCTTTGAAGATGACCCCTCGAAACTCCTTCAGATAGTGCGAGGCAATGATCAAGGCAATCGCTGGTGCGCTGACTGCAACTCTGAATCCAAAACTGAGTGGGTCTCTATCAACCTAGGCATCGTGCTGTGCATTGAATGCAGCGGCATTCACCGCTCCCTCGGCACTCACATATCTAAAGTCCGCTCCCTAACTCTTGACACAACATCGTTCAGTACCGACATTGTCGAAGTCTTGCTCCAAATCGGCAATCGTATCTCTAATATGGTGTGGGAAGCTACTCTCGACCCCAACCAGAAACCCTCAGCACAAGCAACGCGTGAGCAGCGTCTCCGCTTTATCACTGCCAAATACGCTGATAGAGCATACATAAACCCCATAGGCTCAAATGCCCAGTCTCGTTATTCCACTTCAGACGAAACGCTTCTGGCTTCCGTCAAAAAGAACGACATTCAGGGTGTTCTCTACGCTCTAGCGCTGCGTGCAAACCCGAACGCCACCGACCGCTCCCGAAATACGCACTCCATCTTTCTCGCTCTCGCAGCCGCTGATCCAGCTGCTCCAGCGGGGTCCGCCCTCCCTACACCTGTTACCTCACCTAACGCCAAGACGCCATCTGGTAGTCAGAAAACAATCGTTGCTTTCCCTGTTGCCGAATTGCTGGTTCAGAACGGTGCCATCATCCCGTCTACCCTGCCCGCATTTCCACTTTCTCCGAACGCACAGCTGTACATTGACCAAAAGGCTGGCAAAGGCGTAGACACGCTCACTGCTCTGCCGAACATAAACAGAAACAGTGGCGTCGGCCCGACTGCCATAGAGGGTGGCAAGGATAGTCAAGCGAAGCTGCAGAAAAGAGGCAGCGTGGGAGGCCGTCTGGCGGTCAGACCTGGGCAATGAAAGGAGCAGAAGAACGCTAGTGGAGCTAGCTTTGTAGTCTAGCTTGGGCTTCTGTTTGATTATGAGTGGGAAGGATAATAACCGACGGTCTGGGTGGCGATTTCCTCGATACCGTTACTGTTACATAGCAGAGGTAGCTAGCTCTCCCTGGATAGTAAAGCTGCACTACAGTCGGGCTTTAATAATATCTAATGGTTACAATAGAAATGAATATGTGCTTGAGGTTTGATACATGGGACATATGTTGAGATTCAGCTTGTCTTGCTACGAGATAGCACCATGGCAGGAGTTGTTGATCTGTCTCGTGTGTTTGCAGTCAATTTACGGTCTGGCGGAAAATATCTCCTTAGGCAAGCTCAGGCCGACAACACTACCCACTATCCCGATCCACAATATCATATACTTTACAGGACTGACTTCTCCCTTGATACCACCCAAGATATTTTGCATAGCTTCGGCCGAGTTGCAGGGGTGCACCCAAAAGCATGGAATGTCTGTTAATGGGTGATTCTGAAATTGTTCGACCGATTAGCCCCTTTTCAGACGCCCGGGGCAGACCCCTTGAGGCTACTTACAGTCATACTAATACCCCCCATAACACCCGCATTTCTCACTCCGGATTGAAGGTGCTTTGGTACTAGCTTTTCGTAAACAAAATCTATACTCTGTAATATCGAAGGTGGCAGATTGTGGAGAAAGAAGTAGAGGACGGGGACCCGGTAGCTTGTTGACGGTAGAATGTGATACTCTACTGATGAGACTGTGAGCGACGGGGGAGAATGGTAGATGGCGACCTTTATCTAAAGATCAGGATTTTTGAAACTTTGGATTGTAAGATTAAGAAAAGGAACGCTGAGCTCACGTCCTCGTCTTCTTCCTCGATATTGCTAGATTCATGAGAATCTTGCGCAGCGGAGAAGAGCTTGGCCGAATCTGATGGTGCTGGTGGGTTAACATTGGTGCTTAGAAGACGTATTATCTTGAGGTATTGGTGTTCTCCCTAGACGCATGTGAGCATAGGAGAAAAGACGCAGAACTTGCCTCTATGCTCAATTATCCGGCATAAGAAAGAAGAGAGTTTTGAACTGATCAAGGGGATCTTACATGTCTACGAGTCTCCAAGCTCATATCGCTGGACCATAAACCTGAACAAAGCGCCAACGCCTGACAGGCTTCATCGAAGGCTTTTCTTGATATGAAGCCGGCCTCCTCTGGCCGATTGAGCGACATGTCAGCGTTACTATTTGATAGGCAAAATGAGGCCTTGTATGTGCACTGGAACCTGGTTTTTAATGTAGTCTTCTCTATGTCCTGAAATCAAGACAGCCTGCCATGCAGAAAAAACGCAAATACCGCATGCGAAATCTCACCACTGGTGCAAATGATGCTGGTTTGCGATTCGCCTTGGTCAGGTGAGACTTGTTCCGTGCGCTTGCTTGTATGATTGTATGGTTGTATGATTGCAATTGGTACCGTATCGTGCGTATCTAAGAAGCGAGGAGGAGAGATGTGATAGTTTTCGCTCGCTTAGTTATAAACAGTACAGTAGCGTTAGCGGTGGCTGAACAGCTCGCATGCACGACTGGTTCAGCCGTGGCTGAGTCGGCCGATCATGTCGATCATCTGCAGATGGCCGGGTAAAAATCGCATGGCTGAAAGTAAGCTAAGAAAAAGCAGGGGATAGCTGCAGCCACTTGCCCATAGATGGTATGGTGAACTTTGGTAGTGTGAATTCATCCGTGGCTTGAAATCAATCCTGTTTACCTGCGTAATCAATCGCCCGTTGCTCTGCCATGGCTCTCATCGTTCATCCACTTTCCTCGTCTTCCCTCGTCTTCATTCATTATCTCATTCTCACCTTCTTCTAACTACTTCCTCACATATTCGTCGGTAAGGAGGTCCGCACCGTAGCCAGACTTCCGGCGCCAATGAGATAGTCGACGGGCCTGTCCCAGCCTTCTCATTTCTTCCTGCCAACCCTTCTTTGCGTCCATGTTTTAGCGTGTCATGCAATTGTCGATTGGGCTTCTTCTCGGTCCTTAATTGAATCGTCGGTCCTTAATTTGAAAAACATATACCTTCCCAGCATCTAGTCTTTTTCGCATATTCGCCCGAGGAAATTTATCCACTTCGGAAGAAACGTTCCCCATGGAGGACTCATCAAACGTTCATGTCGGCCCCCGACGGCTGTCTAAGCCTCGGACGAATAAGTCTTCCTCCACTGTCCTTAGTGAACAGCCTACTACGCCATCGTCACCTCACAACTCCTCTGATCAGGACTATTTCGGTAGAGATGCGGTCATCGTGAACTCGCACGGCGAACGTAGAAGCCGAAGCAAATCCCGGGGCAGAATTAGAGCTTACCTGTATGGCTCGAGTCATGATGCCGTACAGACTTCGTCAGATGATGAAGAGGCGCAGACTGGAATCGCAGTCGCAGCGCGCGACGTCAAAAATCGGTTATCACGCACAGGCTCATCGATTATGCCGCTCCAGAGTGCCAAAGCATCGGCAACACGCCTTTCAACCTCCTCAAGTTCACGGCTACTTTCCACATGCTCGACAGAGTCACAAGGAATGGACCCCGAAGAGGCGGCCATGATCGCGGACCAGATCAAACAAAGAGCCTACCATGATAGCCTAGCGGCCCAGAACCACGTCTCTACGCCGGTCGACGAGGATAGGCACGTTGACTCAGTCATGGCTCCACTCCGTAGGAAATCACTTTATACACCAGGCATAGCCACTAGGAATGCCAGCGATATACTGCGGAAGCCTCCCAAGCCATCAACAGATCACGAGTACTATTACGACCCTTTGCGTCCCGAGTCTTCACCTCTCTCTCATCTTGCAACATTGAACATGGGTGAAGATGGTAGACGTACCCCTTCCGATCTTCAATATTCTCAACTAGGAGGACTGCAATTGGGCACATTAAGGGTTACAAATGGAGCTAGTTCGCCGGTACCGGGGGATCATCCCCTAGACTTGGCATGTCGCTCAGCAACACCCGAGGCCAAAACGCACGACGAATACTACACAGCATCTGAAGGAAGTGTGACTGGGGACGGGGACCATGCCACACCTCTACCCTCTGGTGGTGGGAGTCCCTTGAAATATGAGAGTCGAGTCACAAGCAGCCCCGAAAAGTCTTCACCTTTCGAGAGGGAAACATCGAATGAATCTTTTCCTTTCTCAAGGGAATCGGCCGATCAAGTGGCTTGTTCTGACAGGGGGGCAACCGATCAGTCAGCTCGTTTTAGAAGGGAGACACCCAGCGACATACTTCGCTTGGCGGATGGGTCATCGAATGAATCATATCCTTTCAAAATGGGATCATCCAAAGCCTGCCCTGCTGAAGCAACGAAACCCAGCAGTCTTTTTCCTCTTGAAAGGGAAACACCTAACAACTCTTTCTCTTTTGAAAATGAATCACGCGATGAAATTGAGCACTTCGAAAGGGAAACATCGAAAGAATCTTTTCCCCTTGAGATGGGGTCAATCAAAACTTGTCGTGTCAAGGGGGAAATACGAAATGAATCTTTCCCTTCCAAAACCGAAACACCCGACGAACTTGTGCGCTTCAAGGGGGAAACATCAAGCGATTCATTCCCTTTTGAGGGGAGGTCATCCAAAGCCCGTCTTGTTGAGGGGAGGACGCCCGACGAGTGCTCTTGTTTTGGGGAAAATCCCCCAAACGGCGCCTCAGATATAGCAGATGAATATATTGCAGAACTTGACGGCGGTCCGTTCTCTTACCCACCGCTTGAAGATAAGAGGGGTATCGAATCACATTTACAGCATCCCGCAAAGGAAACGTGGAGGTCATTCATCAACGATGCTGAGGTGCAGCATGCTGGTAATAACAGCAGCTCAAGGGAAGACGCCCTTCGAAAACTCACTGTAAATGGTAACATCTCATCGACGTGGAGACCCGAACCTCTCTCCGTCCCGTCCTCTCAGCCTTCGAGATACAGCACCTCTTCAGAAAAGCCTCAAACAGACAGCGGATACTGTTCGTATGCTTCATTGACAGGGGCTCCTGCTGATCAAGCTTGCTTTAGAACGGGGGATAATCCAATTCCTTCTATCAAGGTCTCTGCTTCACCCCCACCTCAGGCCGTTGAGACTGTCAGATCTTCCGCTCGATCTTCCTTTCATCGGAATCCAATACGCAAGCTCCAGAAACAAAGACCGAAGTCACAGCCTCCGCCCGTGAATCTCATCACAGGATACCACGAGCTTACCGATGCGAACATACCTCGTATACCTTCACTCATTGCCGCGAGGCACGCAAACAGGCTCAGCCAATTCCCCCTTCTTGAACATACATTTCCAAGCTCGCAGCATACAACTGCAGATAGAACCTCGTCTCCGGTCCAGGCTCATAACACGCCGGTTCGGTTTCCGTCCCCCCCAAATGCTCTTGAAGCGGCCTCTGAACCTTTTGGACCATTTTCGACAGCTTCCTCTAAACCTCGAGCCAGTACGAATGTTGTCGAAGATGAATGGGGTCCTTCGGATCTGGTAAGATCCCCTAGCTGGTCTGAATTTGGCGGTGGCAGAGGAAGGAAGGAGCAGAAGAAGCTGGCTAAAGAAGAGAAGGAAACGGAGAAAAGGCTTCTGAAAGAAGAAAAAGAATTGGAAAGAAGATTGCAGAAAGACAGAAAGGACCTCCAAAGGCAAATTAGAAAAGACGAGAATAAGCAGAGGTCCACTCGCTCTCGCTCTGTTTCTAGAACAAGAGCGAAATCATCCGAGGGCCATTGCCGCCAGGACACACTGGTAGCGATCGCAGACTTCGGAACTGTGACCGAATCTTTGGGGTATGTACGTTTTGTAGCTGTTTCTCCCTAATTGAGACCAGCATTTGGGTCGCAAAGCATGTTTCTGGAGTAAAAAGCCCATATGAACCCCTGGGATTGTCTCACAAACAGGGTCTCTACTCTCGAAAAGATATCGCTTTGCGACTAGGAAGCCTAGTCTGACACTGGAGTGGTCTTGTAATGCGAGTTTTCACCCCAGAAAGACAGTTCTGAGAGCAAGAAGCCCAGTTCGAGTCTTTGGATTGTCCCACAACCCGTACTTTTACCTTGAGAAAGGGATGCTGACTCCGAAACTTGATATAGTAATAGCCCGTATGACATCGCAACATCGATGTTCCCCAACCCATCGCAAAATGCCAGCAATTGGCATCCCCATCAGATTAGTACTGCTATGCCAAGACCAAAATCCTTGGTTGGCGCGAGAGTGCGTCCTCGAAGCATGTTTACGGACGCGGTACCAGCCTCGGCTGCAGTGGATATCAAGGCGCACGAGCTGAAATGGGCCCTGGGCCGTCGAAGGAGTCAAAGCTTCTCGGTAGTAGGGGCGCACAGGCCTGAATCGTTCAACGACCGTGGGGGAATTCCAGGAAAATCAGTTGGACCTCACGGCATCACCATGGATGCACCACCGGTGCCAGCGCTTCCTTCGGCGTCACAGGTCAAGCAACGGGAAGCGGAAATCATAAGGTCTCGTCCCCATAGTATGATAATCGAAGGACCGGTGCCAAACCCTACCTCCCGGGAACATGAAGGGCGAAGGGCGGCTCCTTACCCCCCTGAGTCAGGTACAAATGCTACACCGCGTAAGAGGAAGGGCAGCAAGGAAGTTCCAGATCTCTGGAGTAACGGATCGCTCGAAAGGAAGAGCCCCAAGACCGTTGAGAGATCAAGAAAAGCATCCAACCCTGTGACTGATGAAAGCGACGAGGCCTTACCAGCCAAGGACAACCTTTGGGAAACCCAGAGCCACGCCTGGTCTCAACGTCGTAAATCAGCCGGCGAAGCTCTTCTGAGGAATCAAGTCAGAGATGTTATCGATAACAAGGAAGCCGCGAATCCAGCTCCACTTTACGATCACAGCAACAGGCCCCAGTCTCTGGCCAGAGCTTCTACTTCTGGAAACCACCCCAGCCACCTAGGCCCATTCGCAAATGCGCTGTCATCACACCCTCAGTTGACGGCACAACAGTCAACTTCCACGTCAAGTACGGCAAGTTCCCTTCACCGATCAACTACTCAGCAGACGCAGCTGCTCGGCTTTAGCCCGGTCACTTCGCCTCCTAAGCCATCTGCGTCGTCATTTCAACACGGAAACCAAACACCAAATTCTTCCCCACGCCGCGCACAAACCCAATCATTCCAGATCCCACGCAAGCGTGTTGGCTCTGGCCCTTTTATACTGCGCACTGAAAGCGCCATCGGATCCAGCCGTTACGCAGCGATTCTTATCTGATCCGAGCTTGGTGTAAGTGCTGGCATGATGAATGCTGGGACCGAGGTGAAAAGGAAGAGCATCGAGGTATGCAGAGGATTGAAGCTGTGAGTGGCAGACAGCGGTGCTGGCCAAAGGGATCCTGGATGAATACTACGTGTTTGATTGAAGAGCCAAATACCCTTATTGTCTGTCCATGATGACTGCATATACAGGTGAATAGTTGTAAATACACTGTCGTCCTCACTTGTACGTAGAAGACTTTAGAGCGTAGTACCCCTCGAGGCTTAGCAGTGGGCCCTTTCCGTGACCTAGAACAAAGTCCCTTCTATGCTAATATCATACTGGGCAAAAATGTGCGGTCTGATGCCTGGATCCCTCGATCGACTGGGTGTATCACATTGTGAAAGATTGCGGACTCGAGCTGGAGTCTGATCGAACATGGCGTGTCTCTTACTTCCTCTCGGACTGATCCTCGCCTGCACCGGTAACATTGCCTATTGTCTCGGTGCTTGCTCGGTCTACTTCTGCGCCCCGGTCATCGGCGCTGGCGACCGTAGCAAGCAACTCGTCAATCTTGCGCTCCAGAGCTGTGAGCTGTGTCTCCATTGCTGAAGCTGTTCTCTCGCCCCTAGCGCCGACCGATTCACCGATCAGCTGGATTGGCATTGTGGTGCGAATGATAGCGGGATGCAGATGGTGACCACTTATTATTGTGGTCCGGATTGCAGACGATAGCCACCACGGGACTTGATCGCGGGGAAGAAGCATACTTTGCTAGTTCTTGGAAAGCCTAAAGTACGGTGAAGAGGTTGGTAAGCAGAGATAGGATGGAGCAAGAAATGAGATATGCCATACTCGCGCAAGATCAGCATCAGCATCAGCATCGCCCGGAGACGCCGGAGGGCGACTGATAGGAGGCATGGCTATTTTTTTCGCGTGGTCAGCGAGGAGAGTAAAAGATTCTAGCACTCTGATGTTTGTAGAGTAAGGTACTCCACTTTGTACTCGAAGGTATGACGGTGACGTGAGTGAGTACCTTGATCAATCTAATCTAAAATCCCGATCTAAGCACTTAAAGCCGATGCGACCGATTCATAGGGTGAGGACCTTAGGTAAAGGTTGGTAGGTAGCGAATTCGCGATGCTCAATAATAATAATAATAATACCTAATAATAATAATGCAAATTGATGAAATGGCATGCCTCTCCGACACTCTCCTCGACTTTCTCATCAAAGCCTGCGCCAGGACCGGCTCGCATGCGCATGAAGAGGTGGACGAGCTTCATGTGTCTAGGTTCCTGGCCAAATAATGTCTGTTGCATCAGCGCTCCAGATGTTGGAAAAGGGCGGGTATTCGGAATCGGGTATCGGAGATGGATAGGAATCGTCTTATGAGAATTGTGAATTCCGATTGCTCGATATCAATTCCGATTGTGGGGTAAAGGCAAGAGTACGTACTAACTGATGAGTGGTGAGTGGATCGAGAATGGGAAATCGACGATGCAAAGCGATGGACGTTGCAAATTGTGATGCCAACTAGTCAACAGCCCGACATTCCAGAACAAATCAGGGTCCGAGGGTCCAAGGGTCCAAGGGGCCAGACAGAATCAAGGAATATACAGCCAATGACTTGCTGAGTATGACCTTTTTTCCCTGACCTTCCCTTTCCTCTCTTTTATTATTAATATTTTATTATTTTATCTCCCGGCCTAATCGTTAGCTTTTCTTCCGCAATATATTACTACTACCTTACTACCTTACCTTATGTAGGGCAAATAGTAGATCTACGATCAAATCATCGATGCGCCAGGCATTTGCTAGATGAAGCTGCTGTCTCATGCACAATCATTATCCCTATCATTTCTCCGCATTCTTATTTCCATTTTCCATTTTCCACTTTCCCCTTTCCACTTTCCACTCTTTTGCCTCCAATCTGTGCATGGACATTATCAATTCATCGTCATTCCCTTCCCATCCCCATCCTTCCACCTTCCCTCACTCTCTCTTCCCTTTGATCAGTCTCAACAACCTGATGCTAATCTGCACACATCATTGCTCTTCATCCACCATTTACCCTTCCATCCTTCGAGTCCGCAACGTCAGCGCTGGGCCTTGACACCTCCCCCCTCCCCCCTCCCCATTCTCAACCCACTTACTCCCTGGCTGCACCCCCGTTTGCCCCTCCATCATCTTCCAACGTACGACCTCCAGTCCCATTCAGTGGAACTCATACCTATAGTCAATCCATATACCATGGCCTGCATCAAACCCTTCTGCCCGGTTCAATGCTCATCTTACCCATAATTACATTTCACACACTGGGCACTTCCCACCTACAGCTGGACATTGGGGATGTTGGGGCTATCACGACTTCAAACAACCCACAACCAGACGTTCTGTTAAGGACCCAATACAAAGAGTGTGGATACAAGAGCCAAGCAGTTCACGGGACACCTGCGGCCTACATCTCTTGAACAAACAAGTCGGACATTAGATCCTAATAACTCTACGGCTCGGAGCGTTGATGACTGACCTCCACCCTGTTTTGTCTCGACTGGGTCTTGCCCAATATGTCGAGAGATTTAGCGAAGAAGGCTTTGAGACTTGGGAAACCGTCCTGGACATTACCGAATCAGATTTGTACGATCGCTCCCTCTACCTGAAAGTGCCTGGCTAACAGGTGTTTTTAGGGATACTTTGGGGGTAAAGCTTGGACATCGCCGGGTCAGCAACCGTCGAATCAGCGCTCATGTTAGAGGGCGTCTTTCGCCAGTATCGAGCTAACGGTGATTCAGGTATTGCAAAGAGAGATAGCCCAGACGCAGGGTGTGACTATGGAGCAATTGCATTCGTCCTTCAGATCAGGCCATCGCGATCATCGTCAGAGTAATGGAGGAGATGAGAGCAGGACAGACGGCCAGGACGCTACAGGCGCAGGGGGCAAAAGAAAATATCGGCGTCACCCCAAGGTATAGGCCTTTCCTTTTTGGCGTGGAGATGTTGCGCCTTATCCCACTTTGCCCGGTATTTGGCTAAATCTTTTTCGAATCTCCGCAGACCGATGAGAATGCGCCTGAAAGACCACCATCTGCCTACGTCATATTCTCGAATAGTGAGCGTCATCAATCAAGGCCCCACGAGATGTTACTGATAGCATCAGAGATACGAGAAGAACTGAAACCCGAAAATCTGTCGTTCACGGCCATTGCCAAAAGAGTAGGTGAGCGCTGGCAAGATGTTTCGGCAGAAGAGAAGGAGCCATATGAATCTGAGGCCTCCGCGGCGAAGGAGAAATACCATGCCGAAATGGCGGATTATAAAACCACCAGGTCCTATAGAGTGTACCAGCAGTACTTGGCGGAATTTAAAGCCAAGCACGCTACGAATTCGGGTATATGTAAATGTCCCAGTCACTTCGCGAAAGCTAACTCGTGACAAGGTGGGAAACGGCCAAAGCTCACCCCAGAAGAAACCCAGGAGAGTACAACTAGCAGTGGGAGTGCGGAATGCCAGCTTGATGGCATAGAGTCTTTGTCTGGCAGTAGCGATCTCATGCACCGGAGAGTCGGATCCGTGAGTTCAGGGGGCCTCTATTCAGCCACTAGTGGACTTCCATCACCGACAAGTGTTACTTCCGGGGCAGCTGTACGACGTGGAGGTCTGTCATCCCTTACTCCGCTCGGCAATACGTCGCCGTTGTCCGCGTCGCCGTCCACACCGTCGGCTCGCAGAGAGTCTTCGACTAGCCAACTGTTTCATACCTCTGCCCAGGGTCGGCCTTCCGCTGAAAGACAGGATGAACGAATGGCGATGACATCCTCAGGGCCAGACCAGAGCTATACCCGCATCGTGGCACTCGAGAGCAGGGAAGCGCGGAAATTGCAAGGACATGGTTCAGGACCGTTCATTGAACCAAGAAGGTCCGGAGGTCGAAGGAGCCCGCTTGAAAGTCCACGGCGGTCCGCTCGTGTTCCTACACAACCTCAGGATGTTCCATCAGATTCATCCAAATCGTCGATAGGTTCCACGTTGTTGAGTACTGGCACTGCTGCTTCATCGCTCTACTCGCCTGCCTCGTTTGACGGAGAAAGGAAATCTGCATTGTCTCTCCCACCACTCGGCTCGAATCCGAGCAGTAAGGGTTCGTCGTACGCTGAACCAGCCGCTCGACCAACTCTGCAACCACTTGCTAGCCGGACAGCATCATCGTTCGCTCCGGATCAGCCTGCACAGTCTCCATTCAATTCATCCTCATCCACAGGTATGAAGTTCGAGTCTCTTCAACTCCCACTACCATACAACATCTCATTTGGCCAACATCCGTTGCCACGACCCGACAGCGGCGGTAAACTGGCTAACCTATTCGATCTTCAAGATACCTCGCGGAAGAGGAATTCACTTCGCGATTTAAGTCTTGAGCATGAGCAAGGGGTGGCTACTCCACCGATCCCACAAGGTCCTCCCGAACCTCGGCACCCTCCGCATCATCCCAATTTACCATCCTTCCCCTCCCTCTTACGTGATGACACTCATGAACCATTTCCTCACGATGCGGATCCACTCGCGGTCCTTGCTTATGCTGGACGAATTGTTGGACGTGAACGCGGAACTCCACGACCACATTGACTGCCTCTACGAACTCATCTGCGATCATAACGGCACTGACGATCTCAACAAGATCACGATGCTGTCTTGACAGCTCATTGCTTCGGCCCGCTTATGGCACATTCAAGGCAAGCGGCAGCTCCAGGTGTATAGCACTTTGGAACCCGAGTCGATTCATCGATAGTCTTACTTGTTTGCACGAGCTTTTAGCACCCCAGCTGATCCGGAGCTGCATCACAGAAAGCAGTTTGCACTAGCGAACGCTGCAGCGCTCACTCATCAAGCAGGTCAAGACGCTCAAGTCCAAAGCGTGCCAATGAAAAATCGGATTATTAGTCACTGGGTCATATTCATGTGTACATAGTCTAGATACCCATACTTTTTATGAAGTCACGAATTGAATGTAGGGACTGCTCACTCAGATGTGACTGAATTCAAGCGCCATGTCAACAAATCGTCGCACGGCTTCCAAATATTAACGGTACCGTGAGAAAAGATCACGGGTCGACGTTGTCCGCTCTCGCTTTTGCCTTGACGAATGGAGGTGTGATAGAACTACAGAGAGACATTTCAGCCGCTAGAATTTCCTGATTTTGTCTCCCCTCCAAAGTCCCCGTAATCCTCCAGTCTCTCCAACCCACTCAACGACCCAATCGACCGCAGCTTTCACCAACCCCTTTTTCCTCCTGGTTCTCCCATCGCCACCGCCGCCCAAGCTCCCTTCGCTTGTGCCTAGACTGCCCCCAGTGGCGTACTCACTGCCCATACTCGGGAGCACGTTCTCACCCGCGCTTAGCGAGACGAAGAGGGCGAACGGGACTAGCCAGACACAGATACCGAAGTAGGACGCGATTTCGGTGAAGGTGGGCATCTCGGGACGGTCGTAGATGGATGATGGATAGCGAGACGATGAAGAGGGCGACGGGGGAGTAGAGAAGTGGCGGAACCAGAGGAAGTGGTTGGCGAGGACGAGGACTATGTATTCCGTCAATTCGACGCACTCGGACAGGGGCCGCGGGTCTCGGGGCAGCTTGCCGCAGGAAAGGATGAAGACGGGATCGGTCAGTTTGACAATGGGGAAATGGCGCAGGTTGCCCATGTAGACGCCATGGCTGGCTATGCTCACGAGGGAGAGGAGAAGGGGGAAGCGGTCGATCAGGGTCAGGAGGGTCTGGATGGCGATGATGGCGTAGATGAGGCGCGTGAGGAGTTTGCGGGCGAAGACGGTGTGCTCTTCTACCAGTTCGGAAAGGTAATAAAGTCCGCTGGCTGTGAATGAAGAGGTTTAGCTTGGGTTTGCCACGGTCGGTTGATGGGGGAAGAGGAAGAGGAAGAGGAAGAGGATGATCATGTAGGGGCCATTGTATATACCTATGGCGAGGGTAAGGAAGCCAAAGCCGAGCAACACTCCTGTATAACCGACAAGAGGGAGTATCCACATGTCGGGATGATGGGCAACGTGTCCATGAACGCCAAGGTTGTTGAAGCTTGGGAATGCGGAGCCATGACAGCTCGCTCCGCTCTTGGCTCTTTTGGACGCTCGGCAAAAAGAAAAGTTTGTCCGTCCTTCTTCTCCAATCTCTACTCTAGTCACTTGTAAGCTTCGATTGAATTACCCATTGTGATATTTTGGACACTCAGCGCTCCCTCGTCAGTCTCCCACTGCTACACATCTGACATGAGGGTGACAATAAGCCGCTCCCACCATGTCTCGTCCAGAAGACACACTGTATGAAAAGCCCTACCCTACAACCAATTCCTCCACCCCGCCTTTGCCCTGCTGACCATCTGCTAGCCCTCCCGACCTCTTCTACAATGATTCCGAGTCCCGCAAGTACACTACATCCTCCCGCATACAGAATGTGCAGGTTGAAATGACCAACCGCGCCCTCGAGCTCCTCTCCCTGCCTTCTCCATCCCTGGTCCTCGACATAGGCTGTGGTTCTGGCCTCTCCGGCGAAATCCTTTCCTCAGTGCCACCATCGGACGGCGGTCCTCATATCTGGGTCGGCATGGATATCTCCGCTTCCATGCTTGATATTGCTTTGCAACGAGACGTCGAGGGCGACCTCCTCCTCGCCGATATTGGGCAGGGCGTGCCGTTCAGGGCAGGTACTTTCGACGCAGCTATCAGTATCAGCGCCGTCCAGTGGCTGTGCAACGCCGAAAGCAGTGATACCAGCCCTCAAGCTCGACTTACGCGCTTCTTCAACGGTCTGTATGCAAGTTTAAGAAGAGGCGGCAAGGCGGTGTGCCAGTTCTACCCGAAGAACGGGGCGCAGAGGGATATGGTCAGCGCGGCGGCCATCAAGGCGGGTTTTGGAGCGGGACTGCTGGAGGATGGAGCTGCGACGAAGAATGCCAAGGTCTATTTGGTTTTGAGTGTTGGGGGTGGGGCCATTGAGGGAGTGGTCGAGCGCATGGACGGGGTAGATGTTGTGGAAAGAGGGAAAACCAACCAGGAAAGGAAAAGAAAAGAGAATGTGGTAACAAAAGGAAGTAAACAGTGGATCTTGAGGAAAAAGGAGCAGATGGAGAGGAAAGGGAAGATTGTGAAAACCAACTCAAAATTCAGTGGAAGGAGGAGAAGGATTGCTTGGTGACGCCTTGAAGTTTTCGAATTACTCGATGTTTAGCATGGCGCTTTGGGCAGAGATGGTGGAAGCTTTGCACCTATGACCCATGTTCTTCGTTGATAGTGATAGCTGTTGGCATAGCTGAAAGCAGTCATCAAACGCACTGTACTCATTCCAATTTTCAACTCTTCTCTCCTGGTATTCAGTACTATGTACATCCGTCTTTGCAGAGTTCAGGCCGTTTCCATTTGGTCCAGGACAGACCTTGTGAAATCGTGGGTGGTGCTGTTGCCACCCATGTCTCGAGTTCTCGTTTTGCTATCATGCATATCAGCATTTGTAGGCCGATTGTAGAGAAGACCTTACCCTTCTTTGATCACGTCATAGACGGCTTTCGATATACGATTCGCGTGTTCATCAAGGCCTAGATGGCGAAGAAGCATTGAACCGGACAAGAGCATCGCTGTAGGATTAGCCTGATCCTTCCCCTTGATATCCAGGCCAACATGTCGACATCCTGGCTCGAATACTGCGACGTCACGACCCATGTTGCAGCCCGGCACAATACCTGGGCCTCCAACAAGCGCAGCACCTACGTTCGATAGGATGCCACCGTAAAGATTTGGCATAACCATGACATCAAACTGTTGAGGTCTGGAAACAGCCTGCATTGAGGCGTTGTCGACTATCATGTCATTGACCGTCAACGTTGGGTAATCCTGGGCAACTTGATGAAATGTATCTCTGAAAAGACCGTCGGCAAGCTTCATGATGTTCGCCTTGTGTATGCATGTCACCTTCTGCCTGTGGTTAGCAAGGGCGAAGCTGAAAGCGAATTTGGCGATCCGCTCCGATTTCGCTCTTGTGATAATTTTGAGAGATTCGACGACACCTGAAACAGATTGATGCTCCAGACCTGAGTATTCGCCTTCAGTGTTCTCTCGAATTATACACAGATCCACATTATCGTGCCGAGTTTTGTAGCCAGGAATGTTTTTAATGAGGACAATAGACGCATAGATGTCGAGTTCTTGTCGCAGTGCAACGTTGAAAGACTGGTGGCCAGACCTCTCGACAGGAGTGTGTAAGATACCTGACAAGGTCTCAATATAGCCTCTTCCATGCAAACGAAATTTCGTACCTTTGAGACCTAGTTTATTCCTCTTCAAGGAAGCGATTGACTCCCGGAACAGCTCCTCAGAATGCTTATCTCCAGACTCAACTCCAGTGACGTCGATCTGCTCCCACTCAATCGGTACGTTATCGGCCTTGAAGATAGTCTTGACGGATTCAGCAACCTCAGCACCAATACCATCGCCTGCGTTCTCGTGTAAGCGGCCTCAAAGTTGGAACGAGGAATGAAGCTCAATTGCTCACCAGGTATGAGTGTCGTTGTGTATTTCCCACCAAATTTGGTTGGCTTGAAGATATCGGACTGCACTGTAGCCATAGCTGGTGGAGAGGTCAGTCAATGATGAATGCTTGCGTTCCGGAGGGCTGTACTCCTTGCAGTTGGTGGGGCTGCGCGCCATGTTGATGAAGCCTTGAGGCCTTGGAAGAGGGACTAATGAGCCAACGCGGTGATTAGCAGCTTATACTAAGAAGCTTGAGGTGGACCTCACCCATACCTTTGGCAATCTTATAGGAGCTTGAGACAGCATTGTGATTGCTGACCTAGGAAAGGCGGATGGATATACGAGCGGAGGGGAGTTTTGCTCGGAATGGTACTTTAAAGTAGTTGATGCCAAGCTTTCAGAACGCGCTAGCAGAGGACTTGATTCGTTGAATCTTCTCATAATCATTATTGAACAATACTCAAGCATGGTTTCGTACTGCCAATCTCTTATGATTGCGATTACATCCACGCTCAACTTGTTGATTTACCGTGTTACCGTACATCCATAGACAATATTCATGCCAACCTGATGTATTTTGGCACCTGTCTCTCACGCTGGCTTGATGTGACACGAGTCACTAGAGAATCACTTACCTGCCAAAGGAAATGTTCACCATTCGACCCGCTCAACTTACGTTGTCTATTCCCGGTCTCGTATCCTACGTCTTTCATTTCATGGTCCCTTGGGAGTAGCCCCTTGCGCGTCTCTCCTTCCATGTTCAGTCTTCCGCCAAAGTATGGTGGTATCCGTCTTTCTGAGTCCTGCTCTCCGTCTTGACCAAATCTTTGGCCCCTTGGTCTCTCGGGCCGGCCTCGTATCCAACAATAAAGAATCATGATTGGCCGCGATAGATGGTTCTTCAGAGCCAAGGAACCTTACGCCGTTATCATCATTTTACGTGGTCGCTTTGTTTTTTGGTCTAAACGAGTTTAGCGCTTGACACACGACCTTACCGGATTAGGGTATCAATAACCCAACCAGAGGCCTTTCATGCCACCTCGTCTCCGACATGAAGGGATACGGGCAGCGAGCAAGGAACCGCCTAGGTTGACAGCCCCGCATTCTATGGACAAGCCCACCATGGTCCTCCTTGAAACGCACTCCGAGACCATGCTTTCTGGGGGGAGTCCTTTGGAAGTCGAGGTCATTCCAAGTCCCGGACCTTTCTGCTCTAATGGCGATAGTAAAAGGTCGCAGACTTCCCCCGCGACCAGTAAAATAGACTCGGAAATCTTGTCGCCGTCATGAGCCCGGTGCAAAGTACACCTGTGCTATTGTTATTCTTATCCTCTCTGTCGTCATCAACAACTCGAAATTCTTATTGACAAACCAGCAGGCCTTTGTATATCCTATTGACAGTTGATTCTGCACAATTTGGTCTGCGGATATCCTTTCGAGAAGTGCTTTTCTTTATTGACAATCCTTCACCAGACAACCCTTATTGACAGTTCTAACGTCTTGAGTCCCTTGTCTGCGCCCTATAAAGATCTCTTACTTGCTCTCGACATCCTGGAATCTTCTTTCGTTATACACTCTCTTTCCATATTCCCTTCAACATCGATCTTCAGACATCTTCTTCAGACCACAGTCACTCACTTCAACATCTTACAACAAGCATACATCAATTCCAACCACCAACAGTGATCACCATGAAGTTCACTAGCATTATCCTGACTACACTCCTCACATTCGCCTCCGTTGAAGGTGCTGCAGTCGCAAATCCGGCGCCCGAAGCACAGAACTGGCACGGACACTGTTACCGGGACGACCAACCATGCTCCAAGCTGAAGCGTGCTGCCGAGGCCGCCGCTGAAGCCATAGCTGATGCCCAGAGCTGTCACGGATTCTGTTACCTCGCTGGTGAGCCGTGCTCGAAAGCCAAACGTGATGCTCTCGCTCTCGCAGAAGCTACCGCCGAAGCCTTTGCAGCTGCCGATCCAGAAGCTCATCCATGTCACGCCCCTGGAGCGCCCTGCTCGAAAGCCAAGCGTGAAGCTCTCGATGCTTGCGGAAAATCTCCACCCCCTCCTGCTACAACTCGTAAGCTGACTGACATCCCTCATGCCCTACTATAGATGTTTACAAGCTAACACGTCATGTAGCAGTTTCCGGGAGCACGCACGGGTTCTGCTGGGAAGCAGGAGAACCCTGCTCCAAACTCAAGCGCGCAGCAGAAGCAGTCGCCGAAGCTATCGCCCAGCCCAAACAAGGCCCTGAAACTGGTAAGCAGACCTAGTTTCGCGATACCTTACACTAGAATTCTAGATGCTAACAGGTCGCTTGCAGAGTCTGGGAGCTGGCATGGATCCTGCTGGCCTGCCGGAGAACCCTGTTCCAAGCAAAAGCGTGCACTTGACGACGTGAGCAGCCTCCTCGACAGAATATTGCTCAGATAGATCGCACCCAGTGGACACCGTCGAGACCTCTGCATCAGGAATTCCTACGGCCTCTCATCAGTAAAGCTCACAAATCGACACGCCTGCATTTACTTCTTGTTATCCGCTAAAACAAACTTCTTACTTTCTTTACCAATAAACTCCATACTTTGTTCACCTTTTCGTGGTGGGTAGTCATTGAGCCGGGCTGGTGGCAACCAATTAACAATCATCAATCAGCATCGATCTCTTACCACCGAAAAGGCTACTTCTAACGTACAGGGTTACCCATACACACCATCAATATCAACTATCCAGACGGCGACGATTACTTTTGTGGAGCGATCGCAGGACGATAAACTTCATTCAGGCAACCTCAGTATCGGACAATGAGTGGCGGCTATGCTCTTCGCAACGGCAGATCCTTCATAATTTATAGCGAAAATGTATCTTGTCCTACCAGTCATACTCGAGCACTCTCAAAGATCTTCATAATTCGTGGGTAGAGAATCCTTCGAGTGGCCTGAAACCTACCGTGAGCGTGGTGGTTGAGACTACATATAGCATATTACTTTAACTGAACAATCCGCATGAACTCCACTCATTCCTACAAGGGATGAAATGTGTCTACATGCGTTTCGATCTCAAGACATGGTGGACTATGCCGTGTATGAATAAATGCAGCTAGATTTATTACAGTAGCTAGCGGTAATCTAGCGGTAATTTAGCCGTACAAACTTTGTACCTTTCCAGTAGACACTCTGAGGTTCCATCTCTGACCTTGTTACAATGACTGGCCTCGTGGGCTATGGAAGCAGTGATGAGGAGGACTCCGTCGATGAGAGCGGGCGAATGCAGTCGAAGTCCCAAGTACGGGTATCCCCACCTGCCCATATTCGACTATTTGTCGGTTACTATAACTGACTGGATAGACCTTAGACACCCACCCAGTCGGACTTATCAGTATCAGGAGGCCAAAGACCACCGAGTGAGCGGGCATGCGCTATAATTTGTTGTTGGCGCTGACTCTAGCAGATAATACAAGGAATGAGCCAACTGCGGTCCCAGCAGAAGATGAAGCTCTCCACCCCGCGCGACCCAACGGAACCGTTCTTGGACCTCCGCCTCAAAAGGTGACCCCAGAGAGCAGCGCTCTTTCCGCCTCTTCTTCACCTTATGCGCTCCATCGCGCAACGATCCGTAGTCTGACGTTGCCTACCAAACCCAACCTTGATATCCCCCAGTCGCCTCTTGCCTCGCCCACACCAGGCGCGAACCACAAGTTTTCTCATTTTCTTGAACTAAAGAAGCAAGGCGTTCATTTTAACACCAAGCTCGCATCCTCTTCGGCCCTCAAAAACCCAAGCTTACTACCTAAATTGATGGACTTCGCCGGTGTGAGTGGCGAGCGGCAATACACAACCACATTGCCCCGCGAGCTGTGGAATCCAGCGGAATTTCCTACATGGGCCTACAAGGAAGAGCTGGCAGAAGCCCAGCATGGTCTTTCCAAGAAGAAGGGAGAAGAGAGAGTCAAACTTCAACGCGAGAGCATCGATTTCGTCGCCGCTGACACTCCAGGACAACCAAGTGGGTTGGTGGTGACAAAGGGAAAAAGAGCAAGTGCTGCGGAGAGGGTTATGGCGGGGCTAGGCAGGGACAGGAAACCGTCCCCGCAACTGAGCACTGCAGGGGTGCGAAACGAGGTAGAACAGAGGGGACGGACGAGTGATGGCTTGCATGCAGGAACAAGGTCTGAATCACCGAGGCGGAAACGCTCGCGTTCAAGGTGAACAATCTGTGAACATGTTTGAAATACATTCAAAGTCTAGATTTGTTTTTTCCTTCGGGTAACAGCATAGCACGAGGAAAGCGGAGTCACATGTCAGCTATGTGCGTTTCATCAAAGGGACCGGGCATTGCTCCTTTCCTTCATTTCTTGTCTGGTGTAGCCTAAGCACGTCTCAAAGACTTTAGTAAGACTGATATGGCTTTCCTCGGTCGTCTCGTTCACAAGATCAAATATTGCTTACAAGACTCATAGGATGAAGAATAGTGAACCGTATTCGCGCACCGAAAGAACTGGGCGTCCAACGGTATCAGCTAGGAAATACAGTGACTTCTGCACGGCTCGACGTTAAAACAATGATACTGACAGATGCAGTGGGACGGAGAAATCTCGTTCCGCGCGCTATCCCTACAAGAGAGATGGCCGTGCCAGTGGGCGACTCGGGAGGAGCCTCTCCTAAGGTAGTTACGAGGCCGAACCCGCCTTATGAGGCCGAAAGGGTCGACATGATAGGAAGGAGTTATCAGAAGGAGGAATGATTTCCATGGATGTAAGCGACCTGAGTCAGATTCAGCGAAGACCAGGTCCAGGCTTGACACTACTGCGCCTGCATGATGCCGAGGATGCGAAAAGAGGTTATTTGGAGGTGCAGCTCCAGTCAATGTGGCAGCTGCACAGCCAAGTCACTGCAAGTCACTCTCAAGTCACTGCTACGCAGCGCAGGAAGTTGGAAAGAGGTTGGTGGAAGAAGGGGTGATAGGATACGGTAGTACCTACTGTATGCGCGTGCTTGGTCAGTAAGGTAGGTAGGTACTTAAGGTACCTTAGTCTCAACTTATTTTTCACGCTGCTTAAGTAAAATCCAAGTGCGACCATTAGTGGATCGGGTTTAAGATTCGGGATGTCGTAAGAGGCAAGGATCAGTCATGTTGGGCTGTCAAGATCTCACTCGATGACATCAGATTTTAACTGCAAGAGGCATAGCTTCGATAGAGCGGCGAATTTGGTCCCTTTTGCTTATAAAGTTATAAAAGCGGTTGACATCGGGCAGAGAATCCGGTCACTGGTCAGGGCCTAGACTTCGATGTCCACGCTTCTCTTCACACTTCAGAAAGAAGCATTTCCATCGAACTCTGGACTGTCGGTGTATGGACGGAAGTACTGGTGGTACCTCGGGTCTGGATATAGTACTAGTAAAGTAAAGTAGTGTAGAAGTATTCGATACTTTCCCTTTCACTTGTTGTGCTACGGACGAGACATTAGCCGCCCTCTCCACATATTGGCGAAGAAGGATATGCAGGAAAGGGTGAACAGAGTTTGAAGCAACGACTACCTGGGTACTTAGGAGACCCCGTCGACTGATGTTTTGATTCCTGTTGACTGTTATCGAGACCATGATCTGACACTCAATCGTTTCGTTAATAGTGTGATTTGCGAGGGAGAGTGAAGTGGAGTGGAGGGGAGTGAGAGTAGGGTAAGGTAGACTAGAGTACTGGTAGAGTAACTGGTGCCAAGATAGGTACTGTGAAAGAGGTAGAAAAGGTAAAAAGGGTAAAAAGGGTTAAAAAAAAGGTAAAATAGGGTAGTTAGAGTAGAAAAGATAGAAAAGGTCTAGAACACGGAAGGCGCGTCTTGTCTCGCCCCGGCCGAGCCAATGATACTGAATCCAGCATGCATCTTTATTATTTCCTACTCCTTTGCCCTGCCTGACCCTGCCCTGCCCTGCCCTACCCTACCGAGTACGGAGACTCGTAACGTGATTATTACATGAACCTGTCTCAACACTATCTGCCTATCTGGACCTTTACCTTTGGACTTATATCCGGTTCAGGCGCGAGCCGGTCCGCGGTGAAGCAATCGACAATCCACAGGAATACACCCCCCCCCCCCACCCGCGCCTCCCGCTCAAAGCAAAGCCTCTTCTCCAGATCTACTCTCACCATCTTTTCATCCTTGCCCGCCTGCCTTGCTAGGACACCCAGGAAACCCCAGGAAACCCACGAACCACTTTCTGCTATCACTCCTCCGCTCAGCCAGCCTTTCTTCCGCACCCAACTATAGTGAGCACCTCTCAATGACCTACTCGTCACTTCAACTCGGTCACCAGACAGAATCACCCCAATCCAAGTGAGTGCCGCCAGCGCCGTTTCATAACCCGGCCATCCCATCATTTGACGGCGCAGATACACCATCAGCCTGCTTCACCTCAAGGCCCCGATCCAATGATACCCCTCCAACCAGTATTCCTGCCCCGCTTGCATTTGTCCAAGGTGTTACAACACATAGTTGCCTGATGTACGAGAACAGCGTTGGAGATGAATCGTCAAAAGATGACTCGTCCAAAGACGAAGAAGAGTGCCGGCGGAGACGCTTTGGCGGACATGATGGAAAGGACAACATTGTGCGTTTCAGGTCCTGAGCCAGGTATAGCTGCACATGATGGGGACAAGGGCTTCCGCGAAACCGTTCAGCAACACTATTCTGTACTGGAGAACAATGTCGTTGAGCAGCTTGTACGGCTGAAGCAAAGTCTTAAGGAGGCGACTACCTATGATTTCTGGAGCTTGCTCATGGAGGGTATGACAAGTATTACCGGCGCTCAATACGGCTTCGTAACGAAACGAATTTTGGTAGATGATCAAAATTCGGCAGTTGAGATGCCACCAATTGGAGAACCTGGATCATGTCTGCTAGGCGTCGCCTTCTATTACAACGACGGTGCACAGCTCAAGAATCTTCATCGAGATTACAAGTACCTGGCCTATGGCGCCCCTTGTCATAACATGAAACATGACAAAGTGTTTTTGATTCCCGAGGGACTACAACAATTTGTCCTCAACAATCCCAACGAGTTTCCCTTCCCTACCGAAGCCTACCTCGGGGTACCTTTATTCGCCGAGGGAAAGTGCTTTGGACACTTTGGCATGATGTGGACGGTCAAAGGTGTGGAGAACCTCAGGTTAGGCTGGGGCTACATTGAGCTGCTCTTGCATGCACTTGAAGACATCATTCTCGAACGACTCGTGGATGGACAGAGCTACGCCAAGGATGTTGAAAGGAACAAGCTTGGTAAAGTCATACCTACTGAAGCAGTCACAGCTGCACAGTCATTGAAACCATACGCTCGAAGTTTGTCTCATGAGTTGCGAACCCCGATGCAGGGTGTCGTGGGAATGCTCGACGTCATGCACGCAACGGTCCAAGAATCTTTAGAAGGTCAATCCGATGCGTCCGTCCGCAAAGTCTTCAAAACATTGCGGGACAATATTGAGGTGGTCCAAGGTGATTCCCCAACCCTTGACGACCAATGAGGACTGGCAATAACAGTCATGACAGATAGCTCACGAAGAGCCGTAGAAGCTGCTGATAATGTGGTCCACGCATACGATTTGAACATGCAAGTGCCAGATACGCCCAATCCGCCCAATGACGACGAGAGTATGGATGGGATGTCAACGGTCTCATACAATGGTAGAAGATCAAGTATAAGCATCGACGGGAAGAGCATCTTCTTTCGGCGAAGCAAACGACAGAGGACAAGCGACTCTGGCAATAGCGGCCCAGTCACCAAGCATCGGCACTTGCAGTCTCAGAGCTCAACACCGCGCCGAGAACTATCACCACATATAGCATCTCTGCGGACGGCCGTTGAAGAATGCGACAGTAATACGGGTGGTATGGAAGATTTCACTGAGCCAACTCCGGCTCTCATTGAGCCGGAGAATGCATTCGAATTATCCGAGCCTGAATACACCGTGACTCCGAGCCTGAGGCACACCAAAGTCCGTGATCTGCTGCATATGACCATTAACGACTGTTTGAGAAATGGAGGGAGACCAGAGTCTGCAATTGCGGAGGACATCGACGGCGGTGAGATAATCGAAGTCAAGACCAGTAGCTCGAATGGGGATTCTCGTACCAAAATCATTGAATGGTCGGTGGATCCCCAAGTCCCAGAGACAGTATTAGGTGTGTGACCACAAAGTTTATCTTGTTTTACATAGTGCTAATTGGATGATAGTCGATGAACGGGATCTATTGAAATTAGTTTCCTGTATTTTCATGAACGCCGTCAAATTCACCGAGGAGGGCAGAATATCACTGAGGGCAACCCTGACTCCCAAAGCTAAATTCATCGTTATCAACGTGGTCGATACAGGTCCTGGTATTCCCCAGGCCTTCCAACCTTATCTATTCAAGGCTTTCTCTCGTGAAGATGACTCCCTCACACGGCAAAAGGAAGGCTTAGGCCTAGGGCTGATGGTTGCCAAGGGTCTTGCCCGCAGAATTGGCGGAGACCTGCAATGTGTAAGGACTGATACCGACGGTCCTCGACGCGGTTCTGAATTCGAGCTTCGCATACCGCTTTCCTACACAGATCCGGACAGCAGGGCAACATCTCCAGGCCGCGCGTCTACACCAGCCCGTCTTCCTGCTAGCGAACCCATTGCCAAATCTCGTGCCCGGCGAACATCATCCATAGATCATCGGCGCACGTCCCGCAGCCGCCATACTCCCACAGCTAGCAAAACACCCGACCTTTTTGAAGTCAAGGCCACCTCGCCCCTTGGCCCTTCATCGTTTTCCCGTCGTAATAGCCTCTCTCAACAAGCCCAAGTTACCCCTTCCCGCCGGCCTTCGACAAAGAAATCACCAACCTTTGATCGCCACCTTGCTAAGAAGCATCCTCTTACTTTTTTAGTTGCAGAGGACAACAAAATAAATCGCAAGCTCCTCGTAAACATGCTTGGGAAACTCGGTTACACAGGCGTGCACGAAGCCTACGACGGCGCCGAGGCCGTGCGTCAGATGAGCATTGACAGGATTGCGCGCGGCGAGAAGCCCATAGATGTTGTTCTGATGGACTTATGGATGCCGAATATGGACGGGTATGAAGCTACTCGAAGGATATTTGCAATGGAAAAAGAGCAAGAGAGGAGGGGAGAGAAAGGCTTCGAGGAGGACGACGATGACGATGGAAGAAAGAAAAGAAAGCAGGTTAAAGGTGTTACGGTGCTGGCTGTTAGTGCGGACGTGACAGACACTGCATTGGAAAAGGCGCGGGAGGTGGGAATGGAAGGGTTTATGACGAAGCCTTACAAGCTGCTGGATCTGCAGAGATTGGTTTTGGAGTATTGCTCCGGCGATAAATGATGGCCTTAACATTTGAACAAAACTCTGGCATCGAAGATTGCGAGATTCGCAGAGAGAAGGGTCATGGCGAGGGAAGAATCGACTATTCGAATTAAAGATACCCACATATGCTGAGCCAGGACAGGAACAATGAGCTACGGAGGGCAAAGTAGGCCGAGGTTGCTTCTGAAAGGGTGTTATTCGAGAGGGTTCCATGTCCTATAAGTTAGATGGGAAAGGTTTCATGATTGGGATGCCATATGTCATGATATACCAATAAATATTACCAACTCACTAGGCCGCTTAGCTGTAGAGTATCTGGGTATGCGTGGCTATTGGCATTCGGAGACAAGGAGAAGAGCTGAGCTCCTGAGGTACTCTGAAGAAAAGTCGCTTAGATCAACGC